CGGGGGGGGGGCGGGGGGGAGGTGGGCGGGGGGGGGGGGGGGGGGGAGGAGGAACCTGACAGATCCAGAGGGACGGAGCGATGAGGTGAAGCTGGAGGAGTGAGTCCAAAGTCAGCGGATGGTCGACAACTGACCAATGTGGAGCCGGATGGATGAGGGAGCCTGGTGGAGCCGTTGGGATGACGAGCCACAGTGGAGATGAGGGGTCGGAGAACCGAGGTGGAGTCAGGGATCCTGTGGCTAGAGGCGGAGATAGGGGAGCCTCATGCCAAGGCAGAGCTGATGGTAGGAATCCCCGATGAGGACCCGCATAGGTGAGAGTAGGCTGAGGTTGTGCCGAGGGGGTGACAGACAGCAGTGGAGCTGGGCCTGGCTGGAGTGAGATGAGGTGGCAGGCAGGTGCAGCACCCAGGCTGAACTGAAGAAGCGAAAGAATCCAGCAGAGCGAGCAGAACAGCAATCCCTAAACTGGAATGGCATAAGCTGCAGATGGCAGAGAGTGAAGTGATGGATAGAAAGATAATGGGTGAGGGATTGAAAGAAAGACAGAGCTAGAAGGCGGAGGTGGGATAGGGAGGATGGGTGGGAGCTTTAGAGATTCAGTAGGGTCAGGGCTGAACGGAACCAGCGAAGATTCAATAGATTCATTACAGACAAACGAGCGAAAACTCAGGGCTTTTGAAGGGCTCAGTGAGCCCCTGAAAACAATTCAGGGCTGGCTAGAACCTGCAAAGATAACAGACTGACAGGTCTAGGTGGAGATGAAGGAAATAAAGGGTCTAAAATAAAAGTAAATCTATAGAGGCCAGCTGCAGCTTACCCCCTTAGTGGCAAGGATGTGGGCGGGGCTTTCCTCCATGCCCTCGTACTCAACGAGAAGTCCCATTGGGACGAGACACACTCCTTTTTGGGCTCAGGCTCCCGGGTGATAATCTAGTCGAGTTCTTTAGCGCTTTGGTCGCGGTGGGCTTAAGCGATGGCTCTGTCTTGCTGGTGGAAGGCTGGCTGGGCTCTGGTTTGGGAGTGGGACCCGTGAGACCCTCTTTGGCATTGAAGGCGGTGAGTGGTGAATCATTGCTCACTGGCACCCAAAGCGGCAAAGCTCCCCTGAGGACCTTCCCCGGACAATCTATCTTTCATGAGCCTGTTAAGTTCCATGTGATAAAATGTGATAAGGCAGTCATCCGGGTAATGAGAGTGGTGAGCGAGGTCCAAAAAAGTCCCATGTATGATCCTCAAGGGAGCGTTCCCCCTGCTCCAGAAGGAGGAGAAGAATGGCAGGATTGTCCATAAGGCACAGAAAAACAAAATTCAACAAAAAACGCTGCTATACTTCAGTTTAGGTTCGGTCTTCTGTCACACTGCAGTGTGTGTAATTATCCAAAAGTCAGAGAAAACGACAAAGAAGAGTTAAACAGCTTTTAATTATCCAAATAACAGGGCAAAATTTCTGCTCTCCCTCCACTCACCATCATGAAGAGCACTGTAACGACAGTGGAGACATTCAGGTTCCTGGGCACCACTATCTCTCAGGACCTGAAGTGGGACAATCACATTGAGTCCATTGTCAAAAAGGCCCAGCAGAGGTTGTACTTCCTTCCCCAGTTGAGGAAGTTCAACCTGCCACAAGAGCTGCTGAAACAGTTCTACTCCGCCATCATTTAATCCGTCCTCTGCACTTCTATAACTGTCTGGTTCAGCTCAGCTACCAAATCTGACCTCAGAAGACTACAGAGGATAGTCCGGACTGCTGAGTGAATCACTGGTACAACCCTCCCTTCTCTCCAATAACTGTACTCATCCAGAGTGAGCAAAAGGGCTAGCAAAATCACTATGGACCCCTCACATCCGCTCAGCCAGCCCCTGAAAACAATTCAGGGCTGGCTAGAACCTGCAAAGATAACAGACTGACAGGTCTAGGTGGAGATGAAGGAAATAAAGGGTCTAAAATAAAAGTAAATCTACAGAGGCCAGCTGCAGCTTACCCCCTTAGTGGCAAGGATGTGGGCGGGGCTTTCCTCCATGCCCTCGTACTCAACGAGAATCCCCATTGGGACGAGTCACACTCCTTTTTGGGCTCAGGCTCCCGGGTGATTCTGATTCTGAAAATCTACACATACATGCTGTCACAAATTCGCTCCATGGACTTCCGTTTATTCACCACCAGAGGTCACCCTTTCCATTACATTGACTCTCGCACAACACAAACTGTTGCATAACACCCCGGACTACATATCCCACCATTCATTGCATGGTTTGCACACTGCACTGATTGCACTCATTGCACACAGCTGTTTCTTATCACCTCACTCACTATATAACACCCACTCAAAGTGCCATTCTCTGCTGAGTATTGTTTAGCCCGTACCCCATTCCGAGTCTCTGTGTTTTCCTTGTTTTGCCTTGCCTTGCCTGTTTTCGCGGTTTCTGATCTTTGCCTGTTTCCTGGATTTTTCCCTCTCGTCTCGCCCCTGTGATTCTGTCTGCCAATCGGTGACCTATGCTAGCCCTGGGACTATTCTTGTGTTTTGCCCGCCATATACCTGTTTGCCATTGTTTGACCCTGCCTGTTTACCACGTCTCTTTAATAAAGCCTGCAGATGGATCCACACGTCTCACGTCTCGTCAGCCCCGTCACACATGCTAACACAAACTGACGAGGCCAGACATCAGACAGAGACAAGAGGGCAGATTAAATACACAGCAGGTAACGGCTTAATTGATGAAGCGCAGGTGAAACAAATCAAATCAAGACATATGAGGAGAAACTAGGTCACAGACAACATGAACCCAACAAAACCATGACAGTGACATTTTTCAGTAAATTGAGTGCATACTCCATGCATTTGAAGTGCACTTTTTCTTTGAGGAATTTTCTGTGTGAACACACTAATCACACTATTCATACTACAGAACTGCATAGAACAGCGCATAATAAAATAAAACAAAATCTAAATCAAAATAAGTTAGAAGAAAAATTAATTACATGTACCTAGATAATGAGTTGTGCAACGCAAGTACAACAGGGTAACACTTAACAATAAGGTTCCATTTGTTAACTATATTAGTGCATTAACTAACAATGACCAGTTGCAGTAAAATATTGTTACAGTATTTATTACTCTTTGTTAACTCTTTATTAACATTAGTTAATACAAACACAACTGTTCATTGTTAGATCAGGTCCATTCAATAACATTAATAGATACAACTTTTGTTAATGTTAATAATGTATTAGTAAATGTCGGAATCAACATTATCTAAGATTAATAAATGCTTTAGAAGTATTTTTACTACTACTAATGCAGTTAACTCATGTTAACAATTGGAACCTTATTGTAAAGTGTTTGCACACAAAACGGTGC